GAAATAATACAACTTTTTTTTACTACTTTAGAGATTTAATTTAAAAAAATGGTGACAATTTCAGTCTTCAAAGTATGCCCCTTCAGAAGCCTCCAGATTCTAGATTTCAGATTCCTCGCCAGAAGAATTCGTTTTCCTTAGACACCCAATCCAGTCTTCTAGTCAATTTTTAAGGCCTTCAATGGAAGAGCTGGTTGGCTAATCCGAGTCCCAAACTGGCGAAAAAGGGCCAAGTCAGATGAATAAGCCGCGTGGGGTAAGGACTCCCAGCCAAACGTGTTGCCAATTCGGTGGTGCCTCTTGCCCGGTGTGATGGAGCGTTGTCGTCCAGAATAATTGCTTTGTGCTGCCTTTTTGTGTGTTCTGGTAGTTTTTGGAGCAGAGATTCTTTCAATTCTTCCAATTGTTGCTGGTAGAGTTCGACATCAAAGGTTTTTCCCGTTTTTAGGAGCTCATACCAAACAATTCTGGCCCGATCCGAGAAAACTCACAGAATGGCTTTGCGGCCGAAACGGTTTGGCCGCGATTGGGATTGGGCGGGCTGGCCTCGGCTAACATAGGATTTTTTTCGTTTGGGGTTTTGAAAATAAATCCGCTTTTCATCCCCAGTGACAATGCAAAGCAAAAACGACTTTCTTTTGTACAGCTCTAAGAGATTTTCGCAAGTGTTTTTTCGGTTCTCTTGTTGGCGTTCATTGAGCTCATACGGAACTCATCTGCCGACCTTTAAAATTTTTCCCATGGCTTTGAGGCGTCTACCAACGGTGCTCTGCTCAACATTCAATTGTACTGCTAATTGTTCTTTTGTTTGGCCATCGTCCTTATCAAGCAATGTCTGCAATTCAGTGTCCTGAAACTTTTTTGGTGGTCTTCCACGCTCTTCATTCAATTTAAGTTACAAGGCCACACATGGCCAGTGACGTCACTATCAGTTACTCAACATGCTTTCTCTGACAATAGGTGGCCCCTTGTAAATTTCCACTAGGGAAATTAATATTTTAAAATTAAGTAAAACAGTAACGGGTATCTTATAGTCGCGCCACTCGACTATATCGTTTCCTCTTGTTTTTCTTTGGTTTTCTGTTGAGCCCATTACGATGAGGTGGTTGTGAAACGGGTTATTTACTAAACATCGCGCAGAGGGACTTATTAAAAAACCGATTCACTGAAAAGGTCACCGGAAAAAGCATTCTCAATAAGTTGTATTCGTTTCGCTGCACAGTGGTACGTTGTATACGATTTTAACATCCAGTTTTCGCGGAAAAACGTCTTGAAATTTTAGACAAGAATTTTTCATATTTCAAACTAAGATTTTGATTAAAATATTAATAGTTATCTTATCTTCTTCTTTTAATGAAATTGAATATAAACAAGAAGAAACGCTTTAGTCGAATCCCGCGACCATAAGATACCCGTTACAGTTTTACACAATCTTAAAATATTCATATTGCTAGGGGAAATTACCAAAGCGTCACCTATTGTCGGAGAAAGCATGTTGAGAAACTGATAGTGACGATACTGCCCATGTGAAGCCTTATAACCTAAATTTCTTCATAAATAGCGAAATAATGTTGCGATTTGAACACACAAGGTCAAATGAAGGCATTCGTAATAATATTATGGACGCCACAGCTTTCCGCGGTTTGTGGGCGTTAGAGTGAGCAGGATGATAACTCTTGGGGAAGTTGCAGTGGTATCTCTCAAATATTCCTAAGCCTAACTTTCTAGCTCTTTTAGGTCACGAGATTTTCGCGTTTTTGGTTATCTGATTTTGTGGGCGTGGCTAAATGGAAGAAAAACAATTCGCATTTGGGGCATCATAAAAACCTACATGCCTAATCCTAACTTTCTATCATTTATATTTATCGAGATATCAGCTTTTCTACAAAATGCAAAAAAAAGTAATACAACTTTTTTTTACTACTTTAGAGATTTAATTTAAAAAAATGGTGACAATTTCAGTCTTCAAAGTATGCCCCTTCAGAAGCCTCCAGATTCTATATTTCAGATTTCTCGCCAGAAGAATTCGTTTTCCTTAGACACCCAATCCAGTCTTCTAGTCAATTTTTAAGGCCTTCAATGGAAGAGCTGGTTGGCTAATCCGAGTCCCAAACTGGCGAAAAAGGGCCAAGTCAGGTGAATAAGCCAAAGACTCCCAGCCAAAAGTGGTGCCAATTCCGTGGTGCCTCTTGCCCGGTGTGATGGAGCGTTGTCGTCCAGAATAATTGCTTTGTGCTGACTTTTTGTGTATTCTGGTAGTTTTTGGAGCAGAGCTTCTTTCAATTCTTCCAATTGTTGCTGGTAGGGTTAGCCATCAACGGTTTCACCGGGTTTTAGGATCTCATACCAAACGATTCTGGCCTGATCCCAAAAAACTCACAGCATGGCTTTTCGGCCGAAACGGTTTGGCCGAGATAGGGATTGGACGGGCTGGCCTCGGCTAACATAGGATTATTTTCGTTTGGGGTTTTGAAAATAGATCCGCTTTTCATCCCCAGTGACAATGCAATGCAAAAACGACTTCCTTTTGTACAGCTCCGAGAGAATTACGCAAGTGTTTTTTCGGTTCTCTTGTTGGCGTTCATTGAGCTCATGCGGCATTGAGCTTTCCCATGGCTTTGAGGCGTCGTCCAACGGTGCTCTGCTCAACATTTAATTGTTCTGCTAATTGTTCTTGGGTTTGGCCATCGTCCTGATCAAGCAACGCCGGCAATTCAGGGTCCTGAAACTTTTTTGGTGGTTTTCTACGCTCTTCATTCCCAACTCCAACTTCACCGATCCGGAATTTTTTAAACCAGGCTTGGCAACTTCTAATGCTTAGGGCATGCACACCGTAAGCTTCCACAAGAATTTTTTGGGCTTCCACAGCAGTTTTCTTTAAAAGAAAGCAGAAAAGACGTTTGAGACGTTGAGACGTTCGTGTTGCCAGATGTCAAAAGATGTTAAACAAATTTTTTAACAAAAATTTATCGATCCCTATTGTTACCGATAATTAACAATGAAGTAAAACGCAGTTTCATACGCATAGTCGTGGTAGTCTCGGCACTTGACTATATCATTTCCTTTTGTTACACCCGTTACTCGTAGATGAAAGGGAAACTCTGCCTTCTACCTGTTATATACAACGAATCTAGTATACCCTTTTACTCCACGAGTATAAAAAGGTATAAAAAGTTGATGCACATGTTTATTAATTTCACGTCCCCCTTCTAAACAATGCGCACAAGCGAGACACACATACATGCGCAAAAGACTTTTTGATTCAGCAAACTAGGAAGTAAAATTGAGCAAGATATAAACAACACTTTACACATACGGCAACAAAATGAAACATGACACTACTGGACAAACACCTGCACAAATATTTTTACTCGGTAAACCCAGTATACGAAATTCAAAAAATTAAAAAGAAAAAAATAGATAAAATAAATGAAGATTGACAGGAACGTAATATTGAGTAAATAGAAGACATAGAAATGGGCATGCAAGTTTCAAGTCTTGAACTCCATAACCCAAAATTACTAGTAACAACAAACTAATAAACAATAAAAACCAAAATATACTTTTAATCAGAACATTAGCTTGTATTGATTACAAAATTAACGAATTACTCTTATTTTACATATTCCTATTAACCACAAAATGATTAACACAATTAAAATAATATCCTATCCCGACACTGCACAACTACTACTCGACTAACACAACTATTTCACAGAGATTACCAAAAAAATCAAATAAAAATAAATGTAAGTAAAATTATAAGAATAAAAAAATACAAAATTATAATTGGAAATGTTATTTTAAGCGAAAATTCGTTAAGCCCATTGTATTCGCCAATTAATGCATTAAAGATTAAGATAAAGAAGAAAATAATACCACAAATTTCGTAATTATAATAAAGTTATTGTTCTTATTACTTTTCTAGCCTATTTAAAATTTTTTACTTCAAATCCAATTGCCTTATTATGTATGTTTTTTATGTTTTTATGGGGAGGGAAGTGACATATTCACATATTCACCTTTGTCCCAAGCAGTGTTGCCAGGTGATGAGCGCACGTATAAGCTACATTTGTGAAAAAAATAACCTAGAAGAAGCTAAAATAAAAAAAAATATTCTAAAAAACAAGCTACACCCAAATATGGGTGGCAATATTCATTGGGGGCTATTTTTATGATTAAGTCCTTAAATTTCCATTGCAACATTTTGCAGGGAAATTTATTTTCTGAGATTGTGCAATTGAGCCCATTCTAGCACGTGCTTCTTTGTTGCCGCTTGCTGCCTTGTTTCAAAGATTTTTGATGAAATTGTTGACTTACAATAGGAGCAATAAGCTCTTGTATCATCTCCTGGAAGTTTGCGTAACTACGCCTTGAACTCACTACGTTGGAACCAAGCATCGCGAAAAATTTGTTTATATTGGACTTTCGGCATTTTACCACTCGCTTTATTAAAATTCACAACTCCACATTGCTGGCAACACTTTAGCCAACATATCGATCTTCGATGGCACTATCGAATAGAAATATATTCACGATCATATGAAACGCACATAAGCATCGGCAATAAAAGAAAAAGCTCCGAAATTTGCATGCCATAAAGCATATTTTTCATACGAAACAACGCGTTAATGACATAAATACATTTAAAGCTAGAATATGCTAGATGAATTTTAAAGAAAGCTATATTTCAAGCTATAAGCTAGCGGCAGTTTTCAAGGGTTTCCAGTTTAAAATATTGAAAAAAATATTTCTTTGTATGTCATAAATATGTGTCATTCACTCCAGGACAAGTAAAAATCGTATTACCTTGTTAGTCACCTTGTTAGTCACTAAAGATATGAAATACTATCTTTGTCTAATAGGCAGAAAATGCTAAATGAATTTTCTTCAGTTGTGCCATAGTCTGGACAGGGCCTACATTTTGAGATCAGGGCTGCTCAGTGGCAGGCATGACTGTCGATAGATCGATATATTGTCTATTTTGTATTCCTGGTCGATATTTCAAGATGGCGGAATGTACAAGGAAGAAGAGAACGAAAAGCAAGCGAAAAATCTATCTATATGAGTATATTTAAATGTATACATGTGCAAATCAACGAATTTCTAAAGACAAAGCACAGAGTTAATTTAAAATTAATCAATATTAAATATATCCAAGCGCAGCTGCCACGTTGTATGACTTTACCTTACCGTAAAGCTTTGAAATTTGTGCAAAACCCTAAATTTTGCATCCCCGTACTGCCTAGTTTAGCCAAACAGCAGGAAACGCAACTGAAAACATTCCTTTGGCTGAACTGCAGGAAATATTGCTGTTGTTCAGTGGTAATTAAATGCGGTCCTGGTGAGAAGCATTTAACATATTTTAAAAACTCCGCACATTTTGAAGCCACGCTACGATATTTATGTTAGTGCCCAAGCGTAAGGGTGTTTAGGCAAATTACTGCAGCATCTAACAGCAGACTATGTTTAACTATTTTCGTTACCAAAACCTAAAAGAGCACACATAGCTATGGCTGCGACGAGAAAACTTCAAGGTAAGCAAAAGAAACTAACTGTTTAAAATAGTTCCAATTTCTCAAACAAAATGTACAACTTGAATCTTGAGAACAGGCGAAATTGATCGATGTCTAAAAAAGGTAGCAGAGGGAGTCGAAACGTTTGAGGATATTTGGAAAAAAGTACATAATGCGACAAACACCAATCAGAAGGTAAGTTTAAGATGTTCAAGATCATAACCTCTAGCCCTTTCAAAATATTTATAATTCATTTGTATTAGCAAAAACATCTGCAGGAGAAGTATGAGGCAGATCTCAAAAAGGAAATTAAGAAGCTTCAACGATTGCGCGACCAAATCAAATCTTGGATTGCATCGGCAGAAATAAAGGATAAGAGCTCGCTTCTAGAGAATCGAAGGCTAATTGAAACTGTAGGTTTTTTTTATTTGTGGGGTTTTCCGTACTTTTTGTGACTACGCATCGAATTATTTTTTTTTTTAGCAAATGGAACGCTTTAAGGTAGTCGAGCGCGAAACAAAAACCAAAGCCTATTCCAAGGAGGGGTTGGGGGCTGCACAAAAGATGGATCCTGCTCAACGAATCAAAGATGATGCCCGCAATTGGTTAACCAACTCAATAAGTTCACTTCAAATTCAAATTGACCAGTATGAAAGTGAGATAGAATCGTTGCTGGCTGGTAAAAAGAAACGATTAGATCGAGACAAACAAGAGCGAATGGACGATTTACGGGGAAAGCTGGAGCGACATAAATTCCATATAACAAAACTCGAGACCCTGCTTAGGCTTCTCGATAATGACGGTGTCGAAGCGGATCAGGTAAACAAGATAAAAGATGATGTTGAATATTACATTGATTCATCGCAAGAGCCGGACTTTGAAGAAAATGAGTTCATCTACGACGATATTATTGGACTCGACGAAGTAGAACTCAGCGGCACGGCCACGACGGATAGTAATAACAGCAACGAGACCAGCGGATCCCCAAGCAGCGTTACCTCCGGAGGAAGTCCGTCACAGTCGCCTGTCACGGTTCAACACATTTTGAACACGTCCTCGCAAGCGGCTGTTAGTAGTTGCAGTAGTGCAACTAGCGCTGCATTGTTCCAGCAGCAACAAGCAGCAGCCCTATCAAATGGAAACAACGTAGGCTATTCAAGCGACTCTGGTGCAGTTTCAGCATCAACATCAGTTTCCATACCCACGGATCTGGGAGGCGGCACAATTGCAATTATGTGTGGTGGCGACAAACGCAACAAGAACAGCGAAAGCAATGCCAACAGTAAATCCAAAGTGTGTATTATAAACGGATTTCCAGTGTTTTGTATACTTCACGCAATAAACGATTTACTTCACAGTCACAACCTCAACAACTTATTAAGCCAACACCTGTGCGTGCTACGGCTAAGCCGCCATCGACTAGTGATAGTAAGTTCTGCAGATTAATTTGGTTGGGTGTCTGTTTCACTAATAATTGGTTCTTATGCAGACAAGATTATCAGCTCAACTCCTAACAAAAACCAGCAACATTTGCCCACGACGGCTGCCATAGTCGCAGCTTCCGGGCTCCAAACGCAGAACAGTAGCAGTGGAAGCGGAAATTGTCATACCACTGTGGGAACGGGAGGAGCACAGACGTCAACTAGTGGTCATATTCCCGCGGTACATCAACACGCTCCAACGCCTGGACAGAGCGCTGCTATGACAGGTACAACAGCCGCGAGTAATGTATGTTCGGCGACGATCGCGAGCACTGTCAATGTTCAATGCCCATCTGTGATCCAAGCTACACCAACAATTGCGTTTGCTGCTGTAGCAAAACACAATACATGTGGGTGGACGAATTTGATATCTATTGTGCTTACTAAAAAGACTATCATTTTTCTAGCCCTTCTGGAAAATGGTCCTGTTTTGCAGCATCAACAAGCAATAGTTCCAACTGTGGCAGCTATCGTAGGATCTGGAGCGCAGGCACAGCAACATGTGGCACAGCTATCAAATCTTCAAACAAATCCCTCACGCTTACAAAATGGTTAGATATTTTTCCCGTACTTAAGCTCTTTGCGTAAGATCTTATCAATTTATAGATTTATCTTATAAAATTACGTCTACTTTTCGTAATTTAAAAAATGAAAAAGGATAAACTTCAAAATTCTAATCAATCCTTTTTATTGTGGTTGCCCGTATGAACATAGAATATATTGTATTTAGTTGATTAGAAATGTATACTACCTATTAAATACATTTCAACTAGTACATACCGCAATATAAAAATTATAAATTGATATAATATAATTATCGTATGCACATTTCTTCATATGTTAAAAAATGTAAAACATGATTAATCTGCAGAATTAAGCCTATATTAATTTATAAACAATAATTTATTTGCAGGTCTGCCTGACTCAGACAGTAATAACGATAGCAGCAATGTAGTCGATACGATTTCCCTTAAAATAATGGCACAGGAAGCCATTAATCGATCTGCGATCGTTAATAATTCACAAAATCAGCAGCAATCGAGCAACATCGACACAAGGCAGTCACAGAAATCACTCCCCCAAAATTTCAACTCGGAAACGAATGCCAATCAACAGCAATTGACATCACAACAGCAACAACATCTTCAAAATACCCCCGTTTCTACGACAGCGATTGGTTCAATTGTGGGTACGTCACAAGGATCAGGAAACATCAACGGACCTACAAGCAACAGTGCTCTCATTAATCTAACAAACGCTGCTGGACAGCCAATCAGCGGCCACGGCAAAGCTCATGCGTGCCAACATCAGCAGATGGCCACGACGGAAGCGCACATTCCCACATTACTTGGAGTGACACCATTAGGGCCAACGCCTCTTCAGAAGGAGCATCAAATGCAGTTCCAAATGATGGAGGCCGCCTATTATCATCTTCCCCAGCCCATGGACACAGAAAAGCTCCAGACTTATTTTCATCGCGCACCAGTGCCTACGCCACCGCATTACCCACAGGTGTGTTATATTTACCAGAATTAGTATATGCATGAACTACCATATCTTATATATTTTTATCAAGGCACAGCTGCCAATATACGACACCGTTGAATTCTATCAACGCCTCTCAACAGAGACGCTTTTTTTTGTATTCTACTATATGGAAGGCTCCAAGGCTCAATATCTGGCGGCCAAGGCCTTAAAAAAGCAAAGCTGGCGTTTTCACACAAAGTACATGATGTGGTTTCAAAGGCACGAAGAACCCAAAATTATCAACGATGATTACGAACAGGTAAGCAATAAATCTCCGATAAAAAGAGCCTGTTACCTAAAAAGTATGATTCATTTTAGGGTACGTACATCTATTTTGACTATGAAAAGTGGAGTCAAAGAAAAAAGGAAGGATTCACTTTTGAATACAAGTACTTAGAGGACAAGGAGCTGAATTGAAAATGTTGCAGTGTGCCGATTCGTCTTGTCTATAAAAATCAATACATAAAATAAAAACAAATACACATCCACAATCTTAACAAAAACAATGAAATAGACCCAGAGATGAACTAAAAAAATAAAAAAGTAAGGCAACTAGCCGTAAGCATAAGTTTAAAGATAAATGAAGTATGATACTTATTCTGAATGCATGTTTAAGTCCATTTTTTCAATTTAAATGTTTCATTGTTTGTTACACTCGCCAAATTTATGCGAATGTTAAACTTGAGATTCAAACAAAGTACATTTCTCTAAAGTGTCTTTTTCATTTGAACTAAATATATATATTTCAATGAATTTATTGGTTCTCATCACCTTCCGATTCGCATATTTTATAAACGCATTTACCGAATGCAGTCATCTTTTAATAACAAATAAAAATAAATAAAAAACGATATCTTGGATATGAACAAATTATAAATCTTAAAAGAATTAGGTAATGTTTTTACGATTTCTAAAATTTTTATATCGGTCATGATCTGCTAAAATGTAAAAAAATATTTAATTATGAGTTAAATGAGTTGTAAGCATAGGAATAAAGAAAAATTTGGAAGCGAGTTTCCCAAATTTTTGTTTTTTCTCATCGTTTGTCATTATTATAATATAGAAGGAAATGGTGAATGTAGAGGGAAGGATTTTCAGCCCACAAGTATATAAATAGCCATGACAATCATTCGTAATTTTCTGAACTCTGATATCTCGGGAACTATAAAAGAAAGATTAAACTGAGCATGTTTTGTATGTGAGTGAGTACATACATATGTATGTATTTTTTTTTTCAGAAGTTGGCCACTTCCACCAAAAATTCGGAAAACTAAAAATGCCATCTCCGTCGGTCCGTATGATAGAACTATGGGAGCTAGGAAAAACAGCTACTCCAACAAACCGAGTAAAACAGTCCACAAGCCTTTTGTTTTGACGTTTCTTAATCAATCCCAAAATACGGTTAGGATTTTTACAATTTTTGGTATATGGATGACAACCCATGTTACACAAAGTCAACCAAAAACGTATGCCTTATCAAAAATTCTAACTCTTATAATTCCCAAGATTTAAACGCTATTGCATGCTTTGTCCTAACTTTCTAGCTCTTTAAATTGGCCGAAATCTCAACTGCCAGTTACGGGTATCAAATAGTCGCGGCACTTGATTAGGCCATTTCATCTTGTTTTCAAAAATGTAAACAAACTGGTAACTGGTATTAAAACAATACACATACAGGCAAACATAAAAATTTATTAAATAACTTGCACCTGAATTTAAGAATATATGGCATTCGTCGTGTTTCAAATGTCATCTTCATTATGTTCGTCATGACTCCAACAATCTACATCATTAACGTTCTTTGTGAATTCATTAAGAGCAGCGAAATGGGTGTTATTGCTCTTTGCTGTATCACAGCTATTAGACTGTATCTCAATGATGGGCTCCATGTCTTTAAAGAAGTCCATCTTGCTAAGCTCTGATATATCGTTTACTGGATGCACTTGAATGTCCAGCGCACTGAGATCATCGATAACACTACGTTCTGTTTGCGACAGTGATTTGTTTATCCCAAGTGATACATGTGAGGGGGTATGCGTAATGTAAAGATAATACACCTCGAGTTGTTTGGATCTTTGGGGTCGATGTTCTACTATTGATTTCAAAATTGTGTACTGTATTATCCTCCGCTGATGAGAGCTGATGCTCGCATCTAGTAACCCAATCAGAACAAGTCCCCTCCCTATCTAGGCAAAGTGATTTACCTGTGGCATATTCAGATGGTTCCCTCACGGAGTCACTTCTCTTACTTAAATCAGTATTCTCATCTTCCCCTCCGTCTGGGCTAAGGCGAAGCGATGAGGGAGCAACGTTGTTATCCGTTGGCAACGGACTGCCGGAGACCATAAAATCTTCTTCCGCGTCAAAGGACCTTGTATTTATTAGGGGACTAATAGACCGCGGCTCTGGTAAACTATTTTGAGAATTTGTTAGCACTGCGGCGTGAGGGCGGCCATCAGAGAAACAGCGGACACGATCCCCTCCCAAAACTTTATTAGCTCCTAGTATGGGAACCAAATCAGCCATGCATCTCAGCGTTTTGGCAACTAAGATGCTGTTGGTATCGCGCATAGCAAGCTGTAAATGAGGAAGAATATCATTTAGAAGCTGTTCGTTGCTTAATAAGGGAACGTAGTCCATAAAATAGTCTAGGAGTATCAAACGAATTTGTGCATCACGCAAGCGAAACATCTTTAGTATCTGTGGCATTAAATATTGAACGTAGATTTGTGAAGAAAACAAAGACCCTATCGCTTTATCCATAGTCTTTACTCGTAGTATATATGGAGTCACGTATTTCTGTGCAGTAATATCTAGCAGAACCATTCTTGAAAGCAAGTTACAAGCCAGCTGCGAAGCAACAACTTGCTCGTGAAAGATTCGTAGGCGTTCAATCAAATTTTCAAAGAATTTCTGGCGCTCATGCACCGACTTTAGCGGCAACTCAACGAGAAAGGAATGTATTAGCACGAATTCGTGGTTAAAGAATGGGTGAAGCAGTATGGCGGAAAGCCTGGGCCTTAGCTTAGTGTTTTGGTGTTTCATGTGTGAGCTGCAGTATGTAAGAAAATCCTGTGAATATGGAATGTCAACCCCATCATTAGTTTCAGTCCTATAATTGCCCAATACCTGCTCACATAAAATTGCAAAAAAAAAACTGTTCAAAGTTTTCTGGACTGATGTTCGGGCCCATAAAAGAATGAGCCAAATCAATCAGCTGTTGGTTGACCTCTGTGGCTCTCCAAACGTATTGAAAGCCAGCTAGTCGCCAGCTGCCTTTGTCCGTTACGTAAATGGAATGTGTGCTTATATTTAAGTGCCTGGCCAGAGCCGTCTCGATTAAAAATATAAGGCCACATAATATCGTCCGCAGGCCAAGACAGATCTCAATGCCGCTTTGCTGGCCCAGTACCTCGCTAAGGGGCCTGACTCTCTCGGTTGCAATATGTTTTTTCCCTGACTGGTCCCAGGTAGCTACATATTTCAATATACTTGGGTGGCGATAGACCATAAGGTTCTGGTAAAAAAAAACAGTCGATAAGCCTTTGTTTTCTTGTCATAAATTCTAAACATACATACTTTTATCGCTCTTTCCATTGGACCCATTCCGTGAGTCCATACATGCCTCCTGACGAAGAATTTGCTCTGGAATATAGAAAGAAGCTGGGTACAGCCTTCATCGTTGAAAGTTGTCTGTGACTCTGCGTTATATAGTTTCCAAAATTCATTTGACTCTACTGAGTTTTTTTCAATTATTAAGCCATTCAGTTTGCTGCCTTCATTGCCCATTGTTGTTGAAACTTAAATCGAGACTTTTACAACTGCAAAATACTCAATATTAACTTAAACTTCTGGAAAAGTTAATTATGTTTATTATTCATTTTTTTTGTTAGTCGATTTAATTACTTTTTGTGAGACAATGTGCTGCAATTGCAATACGGCCCAATTTAGCCATCAAATTATTCTTATCGTTGGAGTGATTTAATATTTGGCACCGTTTACACTAGAAGTGGAAACCAAGTGAACGAGAGCGTAAATAATTTTAATATATTTATAATCCAAAAAATCTGAACAGCGTGTAAATGTACCTCAACATCACAAGGGTATAAAATAAAATTAACTAAAACTCTAAACATATAAAAAGATTGCATATAAAGGAATGACGGAGTAATTGGAGCATAATTGTTTTGGTAAAACTTCTGCAGTAGATTTTTAGCAAGCTGCGGCGACTCAAAAGTCTGTCACTGCATCGGCATATTTACCTCCCGGGCTGCCCCTTGCACAGTATGTAACTTCAAATCTAAATTTAAAACAGTTTTTATTTATATTATTTTTGTAATATAAAAAGTCCTTCCTTATGTTGTTGTTTCGAGATTAAACCTTGTATGTCTCGGCTTCTTATCGGGGGATCGGGTTCCGGCTAGTCGTCGGGTTCTCCCAGGTGTGAGTAGACCACGATAGTTGGATCTGTCGGCATACAATATTTATTTTTTTTTAGACCTGGTGTTCATTCGGTGGGACGAAAAGAAGCAAGGGCTATGGCCTTGTTGTTTGGGGCCGCGGAATACACCTTCCCGACCTTGAGCTGCTGGCCGTTTCACGGCCGTCTCTGGTATCGGCATCTGCTGCTCCTCTCTATCACCGGTACTGTTTTGGTAGTGTCCATTTTACTTTATTTTAGCAGACCATAGTAGAGCTGTAAACAATTCTACTTTTTAAGAATCGATTATTTTCGATTCAATTCTTATAAAGATCGATTAAATCGATTTAAAATCGAAAACAAAAACATGCCCCGATGTTACGGTAAGCAGGACTAACAGGGATACGATTACGAACCTGTAATATTGGATGTATTGTACTGTTTGTTTAAAATATTGCAGCCCTCCACCAAAGCAAAGAGAAGAAAACACAATTATAACAAAAATTTACACCAAGCGAACAGGGGTGAGAAAATATGGAAAAACTTATGCCAAGTGGCTAAGGGTGAAAAAATATGGAAAAAACTTATGCCAAGTGGCTAGGGGTGAAAAAATATGGAAAAAAACTTATGCCAAGTGGCTAGGTGTAAGCATTAGAGAAAATGAATTATTATCTAATGTTGTCCTTGTGGACCACCCTCCCCTTTAATGAGGACCGTGGTCCCCAGGTCTGCTTCAACAGCTTTCTCCTCACACAGTGGTGTGAGTTTATTGCCAGCCTTCGGTTTGACTTGACCAAAAACTTTTTCGCCGACTTCGAATGTTCTAATTGTCGGGAGGCATTTTCCCTGGCCCTGAGCGAATTTTGTGCCCTAACGATCTTATTTTGGACTTCCGTCTGTGGGTCGTCTGGGTGCTTTTGCACGATATCGACTGGCCGTTTGTCAACGACAGAGTGAATTGATTTATTATATTTGGCGGGTTGCCAATAAAATAATTTCCACAGTATCGGTTTATCCCCTTGTCGATTTTCAGGCAACGAGCAAGCTCCAAGAGGGTGCTGTGAAAGCGCTCTACCTGCCTGTTTGAGACGCTATGAAGTGGTGGGGCATTTGCAATGCTAACACCAAAATGGTTGTTAAGCATGGCTGAGAGATAGTGTGCGAGTTTAACGAAGGTTCATTATCGCAATAGATTACTCTAGCCCTAGGGAAAAAGTTCATGATTTGGAGAATGGCCGGTTTAAGATCCTCGATTGTCCTAGAAATGGACATGTTGTACAACTGCAAACTTCGAAAACTTGTCTATGCAAGTGAGGAAGTATTTCTTGTCTGTGGAAAAGATGTCGATGTGTAGCAGTTCTCCCACATGAGAGGGGTCGGAGTCTCGCCTAGCTCATGCTTCTTTGGGTGCCTATCGTACTTGGCTTTCGCACATGTTT